AGATTCTTCCTTAGGGCTTCTATATTGTGGTTGTACCCTCTGCAAAAACAGAACTTTCAGAACCCTTTTCCATAAGTTCAGGCCCTATATTGGTGGGTTGTTCATGAAACTAAGCACCTATGCTCTCTAACACAGTTGCTTGGTTTGTGCATCCTCAGAACAAAACCCACTAAAAATCTAAACCCTACACAACCCTTCACTCCCTGCACCCCTTGACCTCTTGTCCGAACCCCAAACCTTAAACTCGAAATCCTAGCCCGAAACTCTCTGACCCCTAACCCTAAACCCTTAGCCACAGACCGCTCCAGCAAGAGCAAGGCTGTCGCCCGAGTCGGACGCCTGGATCCAAATGTCCGCATCGAGTTCGCTAGAGAAGACCAGTCTGGCGTTGAAAGGGTTTCACAGCGCTTTTTTCCCAAAGGGTTTGGCGTTTGTTCGGTTTTATAGGTTTTCATGATGACCGTTTCATACGTTTTTTTTTATCATAGTGGGGCCCCGCAAGGGTAATTTAGGGCCTTGAGAGGCTTTTGGAAGGTTTGAGGTTCGACTTCTGATCCCCAGAGAGCCCAAGACCCCTGAAAAACGAAGGAAGATGCCTTGAATTCAAGGGCCTTAATGTTATGATTTAAAGTACATTCCTTAATTCAAGGGTATTGGGCTCTCTGGGACAAGCGTTTGCAGCTTGTTCCTCGTGACCTGGAGCCCTAATCCCTAATTTGCTAATGCGGAGACCTTCATAAATTTTGGTACGGGGTTTGGGCGAGTACATTGATAGGGTGATTCATGTGTGGACTATGGACACAAAAGCGGCAACACCTCCTACTACTACTACTACTACTCCTACTACGACTACTCCTGCTGCTGCTGCTGCTACTACTACTGCTACTACTGCTACTACTAGTACTACTACTACTACTACTACTACCACTACTCTGCTACTACCACTACTCGGCTACTACCACTACGCTGCTACAGTGCTCCTGTGTTACTGTACTACTACTGACCACTGTCACAGACCCTTCTTGCAGGATGATTAGGCTCATGAAGTGACGTTGGAGTTTCCAGAACGAGGGTTTAATCATATGTCAGTTCCAGCTTGAACTACCAAAACCTACTGTTTGTCGGGTCACAAAAATTCCGTCTTAGAGTCTATAACAAGAGCTTGGAACAAACTAGGTTAGGGCAGTTTAAGGTACCTTCTTTGGATACCGTCAGGAGGCCATGGCCGAAAAAAAGGACTTCAGGCGATCGTGAACCCAACGCGCCCCAAACCCTGACAAGCTTACTAGTACTATCGGGTAGTCGTAGTAGCAGTACTAGTAGTCTAGTGGTAGTCGTCGTAG